TGAATTTATGGGTACAAATAAGGAGAAATTTGTACTATTTGTCCTTATTTTCTCAATGTCTGTAAAGTATGTGTATGTAGTGATATCCTTTCCTCTTTATTTATTTATTTATTTATTTATTTATTTATTTATTGAGACAGGGTCTTACTCTGTCGGCCAGTATGGAGTACAGCGGTGCAGTCGTGGCTTACTGCAGCCTCCTGGGTTCAAGCAATTCTTCCTCCTCAGCCTCCCCAGTAGCTGGGACTACAGGTGTGCACCACTGTGTCTAACTAATTTTTTTGTATTTTTTGGTAGAGATGGCATTTCACCATGTTGTCCAGGCTGGTCTCTAACTCCTGATGACCTCAGGTGATCTGCTACCTCGGCCTCCCAAAGTGCTGGTATTATAGGCGTGAGCCATTGCACCTGGCTGGCTTTTTCATTTCTTTATTACTTTTTTTTACTTTTTCAAGGAACCAGCTTTTGGTTTTACTGGGTTTTTTTTTTTTTTTTTTCCTCAATTTCATTGATATCTGCTCTTCATTATTATCTTCCTTTGTTTTGTTTGAATTTAATTTTCTAGTCTTTTTATGGTTTCTTAAGGTGGCAGCTTAGATTTGTAGTCTTCTTTTCTAATAGGATATAATGCAATAAATTTCCCTCTAAGCATAGTGTACAGGCATACCACATTTTTGATATGTTTTCATTTTTATGTAGTTCAAAATATCTTCTATTTTCTGTGATCTCCTCTTTAGCCAATGGGTCATTTAGAAGTTTTGAGCTTTTTAAGACTGGGAGTGGTGGCTTCTGCCTATAATCCCAGCGCTCTAGGAGGGTGAGGGTGGCGAATCACTTGAGCTCAGGAGTTTGAGACCAGCCTGGCCTACATGGTAAGACCCCATCTTTATAAAAAGTAGAAAAATGAGCCAGGCATGGTGGCATGTGCCTGTAGTCCCAGCTACTCAGAAAGCTGAGGCAGTAGGGTTTCTTGAGTCTGGCATATAGAGGCTGCAGTGAGCCAGGATGGCGCCACTGCATTCCAGTCTGGGTGACATAGTGAGACCCCATTTCAAAAAAAAAAAAAAAGAAATTTTGAGTTTTTTTTTTTTTTAAAGATTATGACTATATTAGTAATTTTCTTCTCCTTCTTTTTTTTTTTTGAGACAGGGGTCTTGCTCTGTCACCTAGGCTGGAATGCAGTTGTGTACCATCTCAGCGCACTGCAGCCTCCAGCCTCCATCTCCCGGGTTCAAGTGATTCTTGTGCCTCAGCCTCCCAAGTGGCTGGGACAACAGGCACACCACCACGCCCAGATAATTTTTGTATTTTTAGTAGAGACAGGATTTTGCCTTGTTGCACAGGCTAGGCTTGAACTGCTGGACTCAAATGATCCACCTGCCTCAGCCTCCGAGAATGCTGGGAGTACAAGTGTGAGCCATGGTGCTCAGCCAGTAATTTCTAATTTAATTCCATTATGGTGAGATAGCACACTTACACGACGTCAGTTTATTTAAAATAGTTAAGGTTTCTTTCATAGCTCAGAATGTGATCTGTCTTGGAATGTTCCATGTGCACTAGAAAAAAGCGCTTATTATTCTGTTGTGGGGTGTAGTGTTTTATAAATGTCAATTTGGCAAGTTGGTTGATATTGTTGTTCAGGTCTTCTATGTTCTTACTGATTTTCTGTCTGCTTGTTCTCTTCATTACTGAGAATGGTGTTGAAGTCTCCAAATATAATTGTGGATTTGTCTCTTTTTCCTTGCAGTTGTCAGTTTTTGCTGCTTGCATTTTGGAGTTCTGTTGTTAGGTATACACTTAGGATTGTTATGTCTTTGTGGTGAATTAACTTTTTTATCATTATATCATGTCCTCTTTATCCCTGGCAATATTCGTTATTCTTTAGTCTATTTTGTCTGATATTAATGTCATCACCCATATTTCTTTTGATTATTGTCAACGTGGCGTGTATTTTTAAAACTCTTTTTTTTTAGGGACTGGGCGCTGTGGTTCACACTTGTAATCCCAGCACTTTGGGAGGCCAAGGTGGGCGGATCACAAGGTCAGGAGATCAAGACCAGCCTGATCAACATGGTGAAACACTGTCTCTACTAAAAAGACAAAAATTAGTCAGACGTGGTGGCATGTGCCTGTAATCCCAGCTGCTTGGGAGGCTGAGGCAGGAGAATCGCTTGAACCCGGCAGGCGGAGGTTGCAGTGAGCTGAGATTGCACCACTGCACTCTAGCCTGGGTGACAGAGCAAGACTCTGTCTCAAAAAAAACCCAAAAAATCTTGAAGTGTTTTTTTTTGGAGACGGCATCTCACCATGTCACTCAGGCTAGAGTGCAGTGGCACAATCTTGGCTCACTGCAGTCTTGACCTCCTGGGCTCAGATGATTCTCCCACTTCAGCCTCCTCAGTAACTGAGACTATAGGTGTGTGCCACCACACCCGACAATTTTTTTTTTTTTTTAATAGAGACAGGGTTTTGCCAAGTTGTCCAGGCTGGTTTCAAACTCCTGAACTCATGCAATCCACTGGCCCCTTGGCCTTTCAAAGTGCTGAGATTATAGACATGAGCTACCATGCCTGGCCAAATTTTTTTTCTTTTAAACTGTTGGTGTCTTTTCTTGAAAACTCTTCGTGTGTGTGTGTGTGCGTGTGTGTACTGGCAGTTGATCTTGTTTGGCCTTGCTTTTTTAAAATCCAGTCTTCAAATCTCTGGCAGTGGTACTTAGACCATTTACATTTAAAACAGTTATTGATATTATTATTATTATTATTATTTTTTTTTGAGACGGAGTCTCGCTCTGTCGCCCGGGCTGGAGTGCAGTGGCGTGATCTCGCTCACTGCAAGCTCCACCTCCCGGGTTCCCGCCATTCTCCTGCCTCAGGCTCCCAAGTAGCTGGGACTACAGGCGCCCGCCACCGCGCCTGGCTAATTTTTTTGTATTTTTTTAGTAGAGACGGGGTTTCACCGTGTTAGCCAGGATGGTCTCGATCTCCTGACCTCGTGATCCACCCGTCTCGGCCTCCCAAAGTGCTGGGATTACAGGCTTGAGCCACCGCGCCCGGCGATATTATTAAATTTAAGTAAATCGTTTCCTGTTTATCCCATCTGTTCTTTGTTTGCTTTTTCTCTCTTTTATGCCTTTTTCAGACTTTAAAAATGTTTCCATTTACTCTTTGTTGGCTTATGAACTGTAACTCTTGTTATTTTACTGATCTCTTTATGGTTGATAGTATTATCACAGTCTACTTATACTACTTTATGTATAGTACAGAAACCTTATAATAGTTTGCTCCTTTTTAAATTTCCCTCTAAGCCATTATCCTATTGTTGTCAAACATTTTACTTTTGTATATTTAATAAACCCCTGAATATAATGTTATTTTTATTTACACAGTCAACAATTTTAAAGAGATTTAAATAATAACTAAAAAATCTTACCCATCTACTTACAATTTCCGGTGCTCTTTGTTTCTTTATGTAAGTTTCCATTTTTTCTAGTATTTCTTTCTGCTTGAAGGCCTTTATTTTTCTACAGTGTGGGTTTGCTAGTGATGTATTCTTCCTTTTTTATACGTCTGAAAATGTTATTATTTTGCCCCTTTTTTGCCTGTGTTTTTGAAAGATAATTTCTTTGGATATAGGATTCTAGGTGGACATTTTTCTTTTAGTACTTAAATTTTAAAAAAAATTTTATTTACAATTTTTTTTTTTTTGGAGGCGGAGTCTCGCTCTGTCGCCCAGGCTGGAGTGCAGTGGCCGGATCTCAGCTCACTGCAAGCTCCGCCTCCCGGGTTCACGCCATTCTCCTGCCTCAGCCTCCCGAGTAGCTGGGACTACAGGCGCCCGCCACCTTGCCCGGCTAGTTTTTTGTATTTTTTTTAATAGAGACGGGGTTTCACCATGTTAGCCAGGATGGTCTCGATCTCCTGACCTCGTGATCCGCCCCTCTCGGCCTCCCAAAGTGCAGGGATTATAGGCATGAGCCACCGCGCCCGGCTACTATTTATTTTTTAAGAGACAGGGTCTCGCTCTGTCTCCAAGGCTAGGGTCCAGTGGCACAGTCATAGCTCACTGTAACCTCACACGCCTGGCTCAAAGGTTCCACCTGTCTCTGCCTCTCAGGTTTTTTTTTTTTTTTGAGACAGAGTTTCGCTCATGTTGCCTAGGCTGGAGTGCAATGGCATGATCTCGGCTCACCGCAACCTCCGCCTCCCAGGTTCAAGCAATTCTCCTGCCTCAGCCTCCCGAGTAGCTGGGATTACAGGCATGCACCACTATGCCCGGCTAATTTTGTATTTTTAGTAGAGACGGGGTTTCTCCATGTTGAGGTTGGTTTCAGACTCCTGACCTCAGGGGATCCAGCCGCCTCGGCCTCCCAAAGTGCTGGGATTACAGGCATGAGCCACCGTGCTTGGCCTTCAGGTTTTTAATAATTAAGGTTACAGGTGTGTTCCACCATGCCTGGTTAGTTTTTAAAAATTTTTGTTTTTTATAGAGATGGGGGGGTCTCATTATATTGCCCAGGCTTCTCTTTGAGTAAAGATGCTCCAGTGTCTTCTTGCTTGCATTGTTTCCAAGGAGAAATCTAGTCTCATCTTTATCTTTGCTCCTCTGTACTTACCGTGCCTTTTTCTGTGACTGCTTTTCAGAGTTTTTCTTTATCCATGTTCTGAGCAATTTGGTTATGATATGCCTCAATGTAATTTTTAAAATCTTTTTTGGGTTTGTTGAATTTCTTAGACTTGTGAGTTTATAATTTTCACCAAATTTGAGCATGTTTTCTCTCTTTTTTTGTTATTTAGTTTTTTTTTTTTTTTCCATAATCATAAGCATAACTCTGCAGTTCAGCTAGGCATGGAAGGGAATAAGGAAAACACGGAACCCAAAGGGAACTGCAGTGAGAGCACAAAGATTCTAGGATACTGCAAGCAGATGGGGTGGAGGGTGCTCTTCTGAGCTGCAGAAGGAATGGTCCAGTGGTTAAGATAAAACACAGGTCAAACTTTTTAGAGTTGTCCACAGTCAGCAATGGTGATCTTCTTGCTGGTCTTGCCATTCCTGGACCCAAAGTGATCCATGGCCTCCACAATATTCATGCCTTCTTTCGTCTTGCCAAAGACCACATACTTGCCATCCAACCATTCAGTCTTGGCAGTACAGATGAAGAACGGGGAACCGTTTGTGTTGGGTCTAGCATTTGCCATGGACAAGATGCCAGGACCTGTATGCTTCAGGATGAAGTTCTCATCATCAGATTTCTCCCCGTAGATTGACTTGCTGCCAGTGCCATTATGGCCTGTGTAGTCACCACCCTGACACATAAACTCTGGAGTAATTCTATGAAAGCTGGAACTCTTGTAACCAAGTCCTTTCTCTCCAGTGCTCAGAGCACAAAAGTTTTCTGCTGTCTTTGGAACCTCATCTGCAAACAGCTCAAAGAAGATGGGGCCCAAGGGCAAGCCCTTGACAGTAATGTTGAAGAACAAGGTGGGGTTGACCATAGCTGGTAGTACTGGGTGCCCAGCAGCACTTGGTGGCGTCTGCAAAGTGCGTGATTTCTTTATATATTTTTTACCCTACCCCGCTTTGGGGACTCAAATTACATGTACAGTAGCCTGCTTAAAATATAGCTCATTGATGCTTTTTTCATTTTTTGGAGTCTTTTTTTCTGTTTTATTTTTGTTTATATTGCCAAATCTTTGGGCCCTCTAATCTTTTTTCTGCCGTATCTATTCTGCTGTTTTTCCTATCCAGTGTATTTTTTTATTTCAGATATTGCAATTTTAATCTCTAGAATTTCAATTTGGGTCTATTTTTATGTCTTCCATATATCTACTTAACTTTTTTTTTTCCTGAGATGGAGCGTTGCTCCATTGCCTAGGCTGGAGTGCAGTGGCACCATCTTGGCTCACTGCAACCTCTGCCTCCTGGGTTCAAGTGATTATCCTGCATCAGCCTCTGTGTAGCTGGGATTACAGGCACCTGCCACCATGCCCGGCTAAGTTTTATTTTATTTTATTTTATTTTGATTTGATTTGATTTGATTTTTTTTGAGACAGAGTCTTGCTGTGTTGCCCAGGCTGGAGTGCAGTGGCGTGATCTCGGCTCACTGCAAGCTCTGCCTCCCAGGTTCACGCCATTCTCCTGCCTCAGCCTCCCGAGTAGCTGGGACTATAGGTGCCCACCACCGTGCCCAGCTAAGTTTTTGAAGTTTTAGTAGAGACAGGGTTTCACTGTGTTAGCCAGGATGGTCTTGGTCTCCTGACCTCGTGATCTGCCCACCTCGGCCTCCCAAAATGCTGGGATTACAGGCTTGAGCCACCGTGCCCGGCCTATTTTGATTTTTAGTAGAGATGGGGTTTCACTTCGTTGGCCAGACTGGTCTTGAGCTCCTGACCTCAAGTGATCCGCCTGCCCTGGACTCCCAAAGTGCTGGGATTACAAGTGTGAGCCACTGTGTCCGGCCTCTACTAAACTTTTGAACTATGGAATGCTGTTATAAAAACTTTTTAATGTTCTTGTCTAGTAATTCTAACGTGTTAGTTCTGGGTTACTTTCTCTTTTTGGAGACAGGGTCTCCCTCTGTTGCCCACGCTGGAGTGCAGTGGCACGATCTTGGCTCATTGCAACCTTTGCCTCCTGGGTTCAAGTGATTCTCCTGCCTCAGCCTCCTGAGTAGCTGAGATTACAGGCGTGTGCCACCACAGCCCAGCTAATCTTTGTATTTTTAGTAGAGACGAGGTTTCACCATATTGGTCAGGCTGGTCCCGAACTCCTGACCGCAGATGATCTGCCCTCCTCGGCTTCCTAAAGTGCTGGGATTACAGGCATGAACCATTGCACCCAGCCTGGGTTAGTTTCAATTTATTGATTATCCTATTCATTACAGATTGTGTTTTCCAGCTTCATTGTGTTCCAGATACTGGATGACTCATATTGTGAGTTCTACCTTGTTGGGTGCTTGAAATTTTGTCTTTTTATGAATATTTTTATTCATTCATTCATTAATTCATTCATTTATTTATTTTTGATGGAGTCTCGCTCTGTCGCCAGGCTGGAGTGCAGTGTTGCCATCTCGGCTCACTGCAACCTCCACCTTCCAGGTTCAAGCGATTCTCCTGCCTCAGCCTCCCAAGTAGCTGAGACTACAGGCGTGCACCCCCACGCCCAGCTAATTTTTGTATTTTTGGTAGAGATGGGACTTCACCATGTTGGCCAGGATGATCTCGATCTCTTGACCTTGTGATCCACCCACCTCGACCTCCCAAAGTGCTGGTATTACAGGCATGAGCCACCGTGCCCGGCCCATGAATATTTTTTTTTTTTTTTTTGAGATGGAGTCTCGCTCTGTCGCCCAGGGTGGAGTGCAGTGGCAGGATCTCAGCTCACTGCAAGCTCCGCCTCCCGGGTTTACGCCATTCTCCTGCCTCAGCCTCCCGAGTAGCTGGGACTACAGGCACCCACCACCTCGCCCAGCTAGTTTTTTGTATTTTTTAATAGAGACGGGGTTTCATCATGTTAGCCAGGATGGTCTCGATCTCCTGGCCTCGTGATCCACCCATCTCGGCCTACCAAAGTGCTAGGATTACAGGCATGAGCCATCGTGCCCGGCCCATGAATATTTTTTAAACTTTGCTTTGGTGTACAATTTTTGTGGAAACAGTTTGATCCTTTTAGGTCTTGCTTTTATGATCTGTTGAGTCTGAAGAAGTGCTTAGTCTGGTGCTCATTATTCTCCACCACTGAGGAAAGATGCTCCTGTGTCACCTATCTAATGCCTCCTGAATTACAAGTTTTCCATCAGTTTGGCTGATGGGAACAGACATCATTCTCAACTTTATATGTGAGCATGTACTGTTTTCCCATCCTTTCAAATGTTTTTATCCCTGGCCTTTGGTAGTTTCCACACATTTATGTGCTAATTAGTACTCTGGCAAATAGTCGAATACTCAGGAGCACTCTGTGTAGATTTCTGGGATTATTTCTGTGTGAAATTATTTACTTTTTAGTACTCTGTCCTGTAAACTATAAGCAGCATTGATTTTCCTAGATGCTTATTTCTGTCTTCTCAACTTCACAGAGTTTGACCCCATTTTGATTCTCCTTCCTTTACTGCAGTCTGGAAGGTGTCAAGGAAGTAAGCTGTGACACCTATCGCCACGTCACTTGCTTCCCATTTATCACAGATTACTGTCCTTCATTGCCTGATGTCCAATATCTTGAAAACCATAGGTTCATTTATTTTATCTGGTTTTTTGTTTGCTTTAGATGAAGGGGTTAACACAATGACCTTGTTATTTTTGTTTTAGATACAGATTGTATTTAATTTATTTATGTTAATAAAGAGTATTTTTGAAGTAAGTATAAAAGTATTATAGTTGTTGTTTTTTTTTGCCTTTAGGGTTAACTAGTGCTTTAATTATAACAGAGAGAAGAAAAAGTGGTATTGCCTATCTGCTCTTGCAGAGAACAAATTACTTAAATGAGATTTTTAACTTTTTAAATTATGCAAATATTTACAGTACAATATTAACTTCTACATTACAGTTATATTTACTTTTTTATATTTAACTTCACTTAGGGCAGTTACCAAAGTGAACTTTCTTTCATGTATGTGCTCCCAGAAAGTCTATTGCTTTCTGCTCTATTTTTGGGAGAGGACTATCTCCTTTTGGGGAAGGACCCCACACCTGTTACATATATGAGTAGATCTTCTTGAAAACATGTAATGTCAAGTTTTTTAATTTTTTTTTTTTTTTTTTGAGACAAAGACTCTCATTCTGTTGCCCAGGCTGGAGTGCAGTGGCATGATCTCAGCTCACCCTCTGCCTCCTGGGTTCAAGCAATTTTCCTGCCTCAGCCTCCCGAGTAGCTGGGATTACAGGTGCCCACTACCACACTGTTCTGTGTGGGAAATGTGCAAGGGAAGAAGAAAAGACACACACACACACAATCCCTTTAAGGGTAAACAACCTTTATCCCATGTAAATGGCAATGCAGATATAATAAATAATATAAGCAAATGGATATAATAAGCAAATTGCAATGGGGAGGGGATAAGGGAAAAGATACATATATATTTACACTCACCAGACTATGGAGGATTCACCACCAGACTGGCAAGCAACACCCTGGGCTCCAGAGTTGGCCTGGGCTCCAGAATCGGGCACTCACCAACAGCCTGGGCTGCAGAATATGGACACTCACCAGACTGGCAAGCAACAGCCTGGGCTCCAGAGTCAGCCACTTGTCTGTTCACAGATGAGGAGAGGTCTCTCATGAAGCTTCCGAGCAGTCTGGGACCCTAGCTTTTTTCGTAATGAATTGTTTGGCATGAGGCCCAGTCACGAGTGCCCTGCACGACTGGGCTTAAGGAACACAACAAGGTCAACTTGTTTTTGTGATTGTCCATCGGTTTTCAATAACTAATGTATAGGAATAGACCGAAATAGAGATTTCTCCGAAATGGTGCTGGATGAACACCTCAAGGGGCTCACACAACCTCTTCTGGGACTTGGTGACCATTGTTTGTGTCCACGTTCAATTGAGTTTCAAATTTAATATTTAACTTTTCCTCCACACACACCTGGCTAATTTTTCTATTTTTAAAAGAAATGGGGTTTCATCATTTTGGCCAGGCTGGTCTTGAACTCCTGACCTCAAGTGATCCACCCACCTTGACCTCCTAAAGTGTTGGAATTACAGGCATGAGCCACAGTGCCTGGCCTGATTTTTAAATTAGGAACTTTTAGCTTGTTTTTTTTTTTAAATACAGTTGGTCAGATGTTGTTAAGTCAGATAGAATTTGGATGGTATATTCCTCTCTCTAATCAAAATGCAGATTCAGTTGTTTGCTGCTTGCAGAATCCAGTTAACAAGAACAAGGTCTGGTATAAATTAATTTTTTATTCCAAGGGTAGCTTAGGGGAAGAAAGCTTCCTGCTTTAAGGATGCTGCTTTGCTTTTGGAGCAGAAAGTGAGCACTTTTAAAAGGGGGCCTAATGTAAGTGGCATGCAGGAGAGGAAGGAAGCAGGTGGGGATCTGCATGCTAGCTTGGTGCCTTATCTAGTGGGAGAAGGAGCTGATGAGTGCTGACACCTTTGTGGACAGGATTAAGTTGTAAAAGTGGCTGAAAACCCTCCAAGTAGGAGAGAGTTTTGTAGTGGGCATACTTTGGGTTGTAGCTGGACTGTTGTCTCTTGAGGCAGCCTTCCAGTAGGAGAGAGTTTCATAGTGGACACCCTTTGGGTTGTAAGTCAACTGTTTTCTCTTGAGGCAGTCTCCTGGTGGGTGAGAGTTCTGTTCTAAAGCTTTTTTTTTTTTTTTTTTGGAGACGGAGTCTTGCTCTGTCACTCAGGCTGGAGTGCAGTGGTGCGATCAGGGCTCACTGCAAGTTCTGCCTTCCAGGTTCACGTTATTCTCCTGCCTCAGCCTCCCGAGTAGCTGGGACTACAGGCGCCTGCCACCACATCTGGCTAATTTTTTGTTTTTAGTAGAGAC